GTAATGCGTATAATGTATAGCTACGCGCGTTGCGATCGATTTTTTGCTGTTAAACATTTATATTCATCGTGTCCCCGGACACGCGGTAAATACCAGGGTTACCGGTCACGATCCCGAGCGCGTCGACCGCGTTCGATCGCCATAATATATTATCATCGCACGCGTATATATTTAGGTATAACGTTTATAACAATCGCAAAATAAAAATAAAATGGTGGTCACTGCAGGCCGCGCGTTCGTATAGGTACCTGTATGGTGTTCGTGAGGGATATCTATACGCCGTCCTCGGATCGCGCGCAGATGTGTCGCGGATTACAGTGTCCGACTTGTTCCGAGTTAATTGGCCGGTTACACCTGTGGTGAACGACTTCATCACGCCTGTACGCAGGTACACCCAATCACACGAGGGTTCGGTCAGAATTTTTCTGCGGAATGTTTTTTCTGGAGACGACTATAACGTTCACTTCTAAATTTCTTTTTGTTTTTGTTTTAAAATGTGTGCAAAAAATATAATTTTGAGAGAGGTTTCTGGTAGAAAATTGGATCATCTAAATTCAAAAAAAAAAAAAAAAAATTAATATTATTATCATCATAATAATTGTTGAGCAACCGCGGTGTTCACCAAAAATTTTGACTTTCACCACTTACAGTCTCATTTTTCATTGTGTATAACGGTTATTATCATTGACCATCAAGTTTAACCACACTCATTACATCGGAAACCTACTCAATAATCAAGTACACTGGCCATTAACGACAAATAACTACTGTACAGCAGAACGATTACCGATTTTGTAGTACATTTTCCTGTAATTATACATTTTTATATATTTTTTTAATTAATCAAAATTTTAAAAACGTGTAGAATTTTTTGCACACCATGTGCAAACGTCTAATACATGCACACACAAACTATATGAATGATGCATCGGTGTACAGCACGAATTATTATACTGGCAGTATGTGTAAGCCGTGCACGGACACGCAAAAGTTATTCAAACACGCGGAAAAACAGCAACAATTGAAATCGGTGGAAAATTATATTATTATACGCGGTGACGAGATCACGCGCACTAAATAAGTATAACATTAATATATGTGTATCCAACTGCGGTGCGCCGAGACAGCCATCTCGAAAACTACACTTCGTGACCCGTCGCGTAGCCACTGGCCAATGTAGGTGTGTGACTATGTCGTAGGTATAGATAAACCGAACTTTAAAAAAAAAAAAAAACATTTAAAGCAAAAAACCATTGTTTCGTATTGATTTGAAAATTTGATGAGATGTCATCGAGTTTAGTAAGTATTTTTATGAGTATGGAAATCATATTTAAATAGGTATAGTTTAAAAAATAAATATTCAATGAAATTCTGCAGCTGCGACAATTGAGTAGGTATTAGTAGTTGGAATTGTGGTTTTAAGTAAGTATAATATCACAATTCTTCATAATATGTAATGATTTTCCATTGCTAACAAAACACGTATTGAACACCCAAACTAAAAAATTATCAAAGCCTGTTAATAAAATAAATTATTAGAAGCCTTAATGTATAGTAGATGGTATAGTAGGTATATAGATTATTTCATAATATTCTGAAAAAGGTTGGTAAATGTAAGATTAAATATTTAACAATAATAAAATTAGTTATATATGAATAATCAATAAATAACATGTTTACATAACGAAAATAGAAATGACTAAAAAACCAATGGCGTACACTGGGTTAGGAATTTACACCCCTCCCCCACACACCTCAAAATTTCTTTCCACTAAAATTAATCTTATTAGCGATTATATAAAATACATAGAGTAAATTAATGTTAGACACAGTATAAAATAAATTGCAAAATTGCAATTAAATAGAAAATCTTAGTTTTTGTTTTTTTTTTATTAAAATAATGAAAGAATATTGATAATTTACATCACGAATATGATAAAATTGATAACTATAGATGATTTTAGTTTTTACCATAAACTACTTTTCTACGTTAAAGCGAATGAAGTGCAAGCTATATCAACTAACCCGTTTATCGTTTAGTGATCACTTTATTATTTAAAAAAAAACTTGTGTTGCGGCGTAACGTATAGGCAATATAGGTACATTATCATACTTAAAAATATATTTTTTAAATATTCAATTATACTTTTTGATACTATAATTCAATTCTTGCTGAATTTGACAGTCCTTTTAACAAAAATAGTTGTTTACACTTACTGGAAATGAATGCATTAATTCGTATAATCGATAATAATTTATTATATTATATTAGTTAAGTATATATAAATATACTTAACCATACATAGGCAACTGTATACCGTTTTCAATGATTTTCATAGGTCTAAACTAATAAAACTAAAATTTAAAATTCAATAATATAGAGTTCAAATAAAATGAAAACTAATTTCATAAATGCTTTTATATTTCAAAGAATATTAATATAATAGTACCTACAATCGTATAAATTATCAACCGACGTCCACATTTCGGGGCTATATAAATACAAAAACTGTATTGTTTGAAGTAAAACCGAACAGTGATAATAGTTTCTGAGTATATAAAAATAAACGTTAAATACTGAAGTATATATAAATATATGTAATGATATGCTCACACATCATAATTTATTGTATATTTTATTATTTCATTAAATAAATAACGATGAAGTTGTCGCACGCAGGTAGTCCTCAATAAAAACCAATAATCCCTATTGATTATTATTAACCTAACCCTATTGTTTTAGAGAAACGATTTACATTGTTTGGTCTCATAAGAACTCACACGTTATTGCGACAATATGGTGCAAAGCGTGTGATCTATTTTCGTGTGCCGCCAGAGACAAAGGGATGGTCCAATGAGGCTTTCCGTCGTCAGGGAAAAAGCCAATTTTTCTAAGGACGCGGAGGCTTTTGTTGGAGCCTCATGCGACTCTGGCTGTCTTGACCACGTCGTCTTCTCTCAACAGACAAGCGAGCAGGAGCTCTACCTAAAAACCATCACACACCATACCCACAAGATTCTGCGAGCGACAGCTGAACTTCTTTTTTTATAAGTTAAATCAGAGTTGTTTTTTCTTATTTAAACTTAAGTTTTTCTTAATTCGTATCGTAATTTGTGTCACCTTACATCTTTCTCCAAGGAACGTACTTTAAGTATTCACTGCGGCAAATCAGGTAAGGTGCAAATCTAAAATACTTATTGTTAGTACAGATTCTTAATTTGCATAACGGTGTATTTGATCATATTCTCGAATCACGATCTCGAGAGCCCTCCGAAGAACACGAGGAAAGTAATAGCACGAGAATAAGTTTATTCAATAATTATTAATACTGGACTTACATACAAGGCGTGTGTACTTTTAGTCAGTCCGGCCGCATCTCCTCCCCTTTTTTGGCCTTAATTTTAACTTAAATATTTTTAACCTATTTTATCTTGTTTTTCTCGTTATTACATATATTTTGAATACTTCTCATTCTTGAAACAAAAATTATACAATAATTTCAAAAACGTAGGTTCATATTTAAATTAAATTAAAAATTGCCAAACATTTCATGTTTTATCATTTTTTTTTAATAGCAGAATAATAGATTGTATTAATTGGTCGTTCTTGAATTTTTTAGCAGTCTTTGATTGCATTGCAGTAAGAAACTAATATGAACAAACAAATCAGATGACAGTAGATATAAAATAAAATGTTGTTACCTAAAGAAAACTATTTGAAGACTTTTTTTTTATACCTGTTGTCACGTCTTTATAATATTAAAAATAATAATAATAACACATCATTGTAAAACCAATACATTTCTCATTCAGCTTGAATCTAAAATTATAAAATTAAAAATCTAAAAGGGTAGAATTTTAAATGATAGGTACATTTTTAATTGACATCTATATAATTTAATCAAAAATGATCATAAATATTAAATACCATTAACACATTGAGTAATTCTGATTCACAATAAAATGGGATATATTTATTTTAGATCTTAGATTTTTAAGAAAATATATTATTACATTGATGTTAAAAAAAAAATATATATACAACATTACGTATAATCCATTAAAAACAAAATATTTTTGACGTATTTCACTAATGTTGAAAAATTGATTATGGTACACTTACTCCAATTATTTTTGATGACATCACATATCACTTTGATTTTACTACAATAATATAAAAAATACTAACCATTATAATTACCATGAATTCAATATTTTCTCTGGATATTTTTACAGTAATATATTCTATTTAAAATAATGCGTTCCAAAATCAGTTATTACTAAATTAATAGATTTACGTGGTGGTTAACTTAATAATAATAGATACAATACATCTTAGATCATATAATAAAAGTATTATTAAAGACCAAAGCAATAAGTACGCCATGTTAAATATAATCCATACAGTTCATATTGGTCTAATGACTGCTCACTAAGAATGAATTACTCTTGACATGAATCAAACTAGAATTATTTCAGAATAGAATAGTAGTTATTTAAATATTATCAAAAACATGGTAGTTCATACGTATAAATATTTAATGACAACATTTGAATAAAAATGAGAAAATTGTCAAGTAAATTTAAATACTTATTTATCTTCAAAATATTTTATTCAAATAAGGTAGGTACATTAGCGCATATTATATATCCAAGAATTATCTCTCACAAATAGCATAATCCAAAGACCAAGATGAACTGTGATTATTACACTTTTAGGTTATATAAACCCAGTGTAGGACATAGGTTACTAAGTATTTAATATAATTTTATAATTACAAGTCAATAAAAATGCATTCACGCCATATAACTCTAACTCAAAAAATATAATATCAATAGTATTAAATTGTGTAAGCAAATAGTTCCAATAAAAAAAAGAAAATAAATGTAAAAATAATATAATGTATTGAGTATAACAATATTGTTATCATAGATTATTTGCACTAGCAAATTATTTTAAATTAATAAATAAATATAAACATACATTTAAGCATCAAAAATTATTTTTATTAGATGTTGAAAACTTATATTTAAGACAATTTATTGTTTTGAACAGTCAATTAATAAATATTACTGTTTAAATTAAAGGACTTTTTATAAGTCGACATCATACAATTAGCATTATCCTCAAGCATTCTTGGGTCTTCCTGAATTCTTGTATGTGATACAAGCTGACCGTTTTGGGGAAAACATTTTTTACATGGATCACAAGAAAACGGCTTCTTATCTGCATGGACTCTCATGTGTTTGATTAATGAACCGTTAACAGGAAATGATTTTAGACATACCTCACATGAAAACGATTTCTCTCCCGTGTGTGACTTCATGTGAGTAATTAGTTGCTGGTTAAGAGTAAATGATTTTAGACAGACCTCACATGAAAATGGTTTTTCTCCTGTGTGGGATCTCATATGAACTTTCAAATTGCCATTTGTAGAAAAGCATTTTAGACAGACCTCACAGGAAAATGGCTTCTCTCCAGTGTGAGACCTTTTGTGAGTAATTAGTTGCTGATTTAGCGTAAACGTTTTTAAGCAGACATCACATGAGAACGGTTTCTCTCCTGTGTGAGACCTCATGTGTATTTTTAAATTGCCATTTGTAGAGAAAGGTTTTAAACAAACCTCACATGAAAAAGGCTTCTCTCCTGTATGAGACCTCATATGAGTAATGAGTTGCTGGTTTAAAGTAAATGATTTAGAGCAAACTTCACATGTATATGGTTTCTCTCCCGTGCGAGAACTCATGTGTACATTTAAATTTGACATTAACCATGAAAAATTTGAATGGATCTTACATGGAAATGGCTTCTTTCCAGTTTGAGACCTCATGCACTGTAAAAAGAAAAAAATAATACTATATTAACATTGATCAACTCAACCTCAAGATAAATAAACTTTAAACAACATTTTATTAGGAATAATATAAATATTAATCAACATAAAAAACAAATATTATATTAATAAAATGTATTTTTTTAGATAACAAAATTTAATAAATATGAGCTACATTCTAAAAGCATATAGGTACTAATATATATTTTAAAATCAATATTTTTTAATTATTTTAATTTCAGCCTTTTAGTTTCAACATCATAGTACCTACTAGGGTACTACCTATATTTAATATGTAAGACAAAAAACAAATATTCCTTTATAAACACTATTTATTAAGTAAACAATAGCAAATTAGTATGTTGGGTATAATTTTTAAGTCATGAAAATTTCATGTTCTAATTGTTCTCATGTATATTGTTGTTTTTCATACCTAAGCATAATATAAAAAACATAATTTTTTGATTCATTTTTATTAATTTCAAAAGTTACTAATTAAATAAATAAGTACCATAAATAAATTATATCTCATATTATAAACATCTACATGTATGGGTTTGTAAAAATGGCACATTCAATTTAAATTACATTGGTCAATTTTTAGAATATAATAAATGCTCGAATAAATGTATTAGTTTCTATTTTTTTTTTTTTTTATGGTAAAATATAAGGTATTTGCCGGTTATCTTGACTACTGAAATATTTCAAGACTACATTGTATTTTTAAATAAAAAAATACACCTATATTTATATTATATTTTTGACATTTGATTAACATTCATAAATATATATGGTATAAGACTTATTGTATTTGCATATTCTTTAATAATGACTAGGTATTGAATAATCTAAGTAAGATATAAATTTGTTTTAAGATATAACGGATTAAAATACGAACTAGAAAAATTTTAGCAATATAATTGTTTTTTAGAACATATTTACATTTTATGTTAAATAAATTTATTTTAAAGGTTAATATTTTTTTTTACAGTCATGCGACAGTCAATATACCTATTCATAAAACAAGTCTTCGCATCATCATACGGAATACTAAAATAATATTTAATTGTTCCTATATATACTATCGTTTTGAGCATGTAAAAGGAAAATACGTGAAAAAAAAATTGTCTTAATTTAAATCGAATAAATTAGACTTTTGTAATCACTAATAAAAAAAATTTAGTTGCATATTTTTGCGCATACTTCAGGTATTTTAAGTGTATAATATGTGCATCCATATTTCCTACAATTTGTATGCAACAAGTCCTGAACCCTAGTTATATATTAAACTTTATATTTATCAGTTAAAAATAAAAAGTATACAAAATGTTTTTTCAATTCTAAACAAAAATTAAGTTATTAATTTTTCGTAATTTTTAGCTAATATTACTTATTATTCTCTTACCATAAAACAAAAATAGTTATCATTATTAATAATTTACAAATAAATCATTCTACTAACTAATAATTTGAATGTTTAAAAAAAATCAATAAATTTCAGTAATAAAAATGAAAAGAAAAAAATTAATAACCATTGAAATAATATTATTTATTTCCATAGGTACCTAGGCAGTTAAAAATTTGCTACAAGTACAATTGACTTTAATTATACAATGAGATATGAAATAACTAAGTGCACAAAATTATGAAATGCTTATTGAAATTGAATAGCTAAATAGTTATTAATAATTATTAAATGGATATATACCTATTTAAATCCAAATAATTATCATAGTCAAAGTAATGAAATTTCCGTGTGTTTATCATGATTTTGAAGCATATCAATTATATGAGAAATGAGAATGAATGTATAATAGTAAATAATGTATTTATAAAATAAATAATTTTAATGATCATCAAAAAATGTCATAGACACCAATTAAATAAATTAATGTTTAAAATAAAAGATATTTTATTTTAATTACTTATTAACGAATACATTATACAAGATATTAAATATATAAACTAACATACTGTACATACAGTTCTATTAATATGAAACTGCATTTAAATGTTTATTTAATAAAATTATACAATATGGTTTTAATGTGGGTATTGCAAAAAGTATTGTAAACAAATATTATAATTTAATTAGATATCTACCTACATAATATAATTATAAATAGTTAAATTTATATTAACCCAAAGTTGAATCAAACCTAATTTCTAAAAGTTTGGTAATTTGCCCGGTAATTTGTTTATTTTAAATAAAAATTTAGTACCTGCTTAAAGTTGATTAATACTTTTAAATGTAGAACATAAATTCAAAACATTTCATAAATAAATAGAAATTTATTAAAATTCTTTAACTGTTAAACATAAAAAATAAAACACTCATGACCCACTAAGAATTTATTTGTGACCCACTTTTGGCAATGAGTCGTGACCCACTATTAGTGCACTTCTAGATTTAGTTATTACATTATATTATTTAAATATCTTCATAATATATATTAAAATTGTAAAAAAGTATCTAGATTGTTATTTAATGTAAACATGCAGTCTAAACCTTTTAATTGTATTTGTTCAGGTAGGTAATATCATTAAGTATACTTTCTGTAGATGGGTTACCACTAGGTACTTGGATTATTTTTATTTACAGTTGTCAGTTTGTTTGTATAAATATAATATCTATCTAAATAGAAAATTTTTCTAAAAATGAAATCGTTTATACTGAAATTAAAATTTTAGTTTTTTTATTTGAACACATATTAACCAGTCATTTTAGCATACAGATAGTTAAATAAAAAATACTTTATTACAAGACAAGTATTAATTATTAGTTAAAAAATAAAACTAGGTATTAAGACAAAATATACTCGTTGTAATTACCAAATCGTAAGAATTTAAATTAAAAGTAACTGGTTGACAAATGCATATTTTGCGAATAAACATAAGATCATAATCGATTATACATGTCACAGTCATTGTTGATATGAGACAGATTAAATAGAACCCTTAGAGCTGGGTACGACCAAAGAGACAAATAAGGAGCGTCAATCAAAACTACCAATCCATACATACATAGCCAGAACTGGAAAGAACCAACAGAGATAGGACAAGACATAATCGCTTCACAACAACGGAGCAAAAGAGAAACATGCACTCCAAGGAACACAAAGTCAAATGTTCTCGACAGATTTTACTGTCGCTCATGATATCGTTGTGCCCAGGCCTTTATTAAGCTAATTTTTAGCTTATTAGGTGAGTGTCTGGGTCGACATCGCAACGACAATAGGTAATTACAATACGATGGGGGGGGCAAGTACGTTACTAAAAAAAATATAATGTCTAACCGTGTTTCGCGAGAGTATCTGGTCTGCGCACCGGAAGTCGGCCACTTGTTGTGTACGTGCCGCCCCCAACGAGAACGGTTTGCTGTAGACTGCCGAAGATCGTCGAGGTGACGACGCCGTCCGCGGCGGCCCCAACGACGGACGCCACTGATGAACGCAACACCCAAGACGTGGACCACTTCGTAGCGCACAGCGCCGATGACCGGAACACGGACGTGACGACGTAGAGTACGGGCGCGCGACGGATAACCGGAGACACCGCAGAACGTAAGATATTATTACGCCAGACGGACGCGGCGACAACGACAATAATAATTACAAGACACGGGCTTTGTGCTACGGTAGGACAACAACAACAACACCGCTGCGACACAATCGTAATGGACACGACGGACGATGATAACCGTTATCGTGGAACTTAAACCATGTGATCCGCGCAACCCGCACAACGATAATAATAATAATAATAATAATAATAATAATAATAATAATGTTAATAACGCACTGTATTAATAATAATAATAATACCGCGGATCGGTCTACGGGAGACGACGATATTGGAAAACATCAATCGGAATGATTAATAACAATATCATTATTACTATTATTAATCGATGGCTGGGGCGACTGTGGCGCGGCGGCGGACAATCGGACGCCGTTCGATAGCTGCCGCGGCTCTGCCGGTATAGCGCCGCCGCCGCGGTGAACAGAATATCGCCGCGATTCTGGACGTGCGCGATGGCGGCGGTCCGTGACGTGTCCCAGCGTCCTGGCGTCCGTCCGCTATCAACCACCTATCACCGACCGAATAGGGCAATAACAATATCAGTTCGTCGTGCAGTGTGCACGGTTGTCTCGCGGTCGGGGAAAAAAAAAAAAATTACGATCGCGGACGGCGGCGGCGGCGTTCGTTTCGCAAACGTTTTCGCCGTTTCCCGGCGGGCGACGGTAAAATATTTTGATGAGATGACGTGATATCTATATAATCCGCGTGTTTGAGACGAGACGTATTATTATTATTTCAATCGATCATGGTTTGGGCGCGGACCCGATGGCGTGGGCTGTGGGGATTCGAGGAACGGCGTTCCCGATCGCCGCGAACACTGCTGCGATGACCGTGTTCGGAACGTTCGGACACCGCCGGTCGAAACGATTTCCCTCGATTTCGAATCGACATCTCATCGAGAAGTGTATTTCGTTGTCAACGAAACGTTCGAATTTTTCGAAACGTGTCCCAGCGCTTATGACGATCGGTTTTGCGGTTCTAGCCGTTCAAACGGCGAGTCTGCGGTGTCAATCGTGTTGAAAGTTTCGGCCGCTATCGAGTTTTTTATTCGATAGTTTTTTCGATGGCGCCGTTCCGATCACTTTCTTGATATCTAATTTTGCAACACTGTACAATCAGTCAATGACGTTATTTTGTCGTTGTTTTTAGGGTGGGAGAAGACAACTCGATTTTTGTATCCGTCCGTCCATATAGGTAGCGTTGTAAGCATCATCATCATCATCATCATCATCGTTCCGAATTCGGGTTTCATCGGTTACCGGTTAACCACTCGTTTTGTTCACGTACCGTGGTCGGACGAGTGGAAGACTGCGGAGAAAAAAGTATCCGAGTCTTTAATTCCCGATAGGTAAGGTAGGAGGTATGTTATCCGTCGTGCGGTAAAACAACCCCGCTGGCCACTGTAATAGCCTTCGGTTGCAACAAGTATACGTAAACGAAATACGAACGACGTGTCGAATTTTTTATTTCAACAACTCGTAAATTGTCGATTAGATATCCAATTTTGTCAAAAATTAGAATTTCGATCGCTCATAAAAATGGATGTGGCCTTACACTAAATCTTTTTTTTTAATTTCTACTATTTATAAAATCGAAATTCTCGTTTTCTTTATTATTATTTTTTTTAATTGTTATTTTCGTTTATTCTGAAAATGCGTTGGTACCAAAGCATTTTTACTTTTGACATTCTTGTTCCTCCCACAAAATACTAAAAGATAGTTACTTTGAAGACTACAGTTAAGACTTAAATTAGAGTAAATATTATAAGGCTTTAAATTTTAGTTTTTTTTTTATTACATATTTCATGGCAAATAAATCGCGTATTTACTATTTTACTTTTAAAGTGCTATATATTCCAGTTTTCTGATGACTTTCTTTTTGATAATCTAGTTCTATAATACTTCAACTAAATTATAAAGTATAAGTAAAATATACGATTATTTGGTATAGTTAATATAAATATCAAAAAAATATTCAGATGTAATATTTGCTGCATATGCTGCCCCTGTACGTACTGTATAAGAGGGTATTATGAATTAACTTAAAACATATAATAATAATTATTAATTTAACTATTAGTCTATACTCTATATCATAATATTTCAAAATATTTTTCAAAAAATTATTTGAATTATGAAAAAAATTTAAAATGCATTTAGTGATATATATATATTACATAGTGTTCTTTTAAATTAAAAAAAAAAGTTAAATTTGAATAAAATATTGCTGTTTAGTGTCTACATAAAATACCGTGTGTCTATAGAAAAAGGGTCTACTTTAATTCAGCTCTCTGAATTTATTTTCAATTTTGTTTGCGGAAAATTAAACTAGACTACTGGATCATAGACTTCTTTGATTCACAATTTTTCTAACTCATATTTTGCGCATGTGCAGCACAAATATTTATTGATTTTATGGTAACCCCAATTTTAATTTTTAAGAACCATTTTTGAATTAATTGATTTTTTTAAGCCATTTTGATGTATCAACTTGTGTTCTGAAATCAAAATTGACAGAATGAGAGGTATGATAAAAATAAAACATAGTCAAATATGAATTTTTGAGTAATTTTTTTCTAACTGTACGAATTTTTTCCTTCTTAAGAGGACGCCATACCCCCATGTGTTATCTTCGTCTTACATACATAAACATTATCTAGACAACATAACAAATTTTTGTTCAGAAGAATCCATTTTATATTGTTAGCTTTAGTATTAGAGTAAATTTATCTATTATCAAACTTAAAGATAAGAATTTTATCTAGACCATCTCATGGGGCTTACATTAGTATTTTAATCTTAAGCTAAGTTATAGCTATGTAAAATATTAAAACTTTAATAAAATTATTATATTAATAAAAGCCTATGTGATAGCCTAAATAAAATATTTACCTTTAAGTTTGATAATGATTAAATTACTAAACAAAAGTAATACATTATACAAAAATATCAAAAATGTAGTTTATCTATTATGTGTATTTCGGAATGTAAACTTATACCTTTGAAATTTGATTTTGTAAAAGAACATTTTTTTTAAAAAACATTTTATACTTCATAGAAAGTGAAAAAAATATTGGTTTTTAAAGTGAAAATAGGACGTCTGATGGAATCACAATTTTCATTATTGCAAGTTTACCATCTAATAAGCTGTATAAATTATTGTTATAGTGTTATATTTTATTAATCACAAAATATAGATACTGACAATAAGTAGATAAAATATATTAAGATTTAAATATATAAGCAGATTTAATTTAAGCATATTTTTTTTTTATATCTATAAGTTACAATAAAATTGTTAAAATTATTATTCTTTTTTCAGATGTTATTAATTTCAAGATTTATAAGAAATTTAATTAATCTTAATTAACTATATGCTTCTTTTCTGTGAGGTATTCGTAAGAGCGCAATATAAATAGTATATACTAGACCAATACTGCAATGTCCTCTATAGACTATACTTATCTTATCCGTCATCCACTTAAAATATAATTTATTTATAGTTATAAGATAGGTATAATTTTTAACTTATAATTTAAAATTAAAATTTTATATATCGTAAAAATATAGGTTATATCCATTATTATCAATCAAAAAAGTAAATTAATGAAAAACGATGATCATAAAAAAAAAAAAAATAGAATTTTTTTTTAAATTCAAGTTTTTATTTTTTTATTATACAAAATATGAACCGACATATTGTGAATAGTATTTTTGGTTATTGTATATGTTACATGATGAAATATTTTTTCAAAGAACAATAAACTTTTATCACATTTAATAATTTGAAATGGTGTTATATGTTTATTTGTTTATATTTTATTAATATTTAGGTAGAACAAACTCGTTATCTAGTGGCTAACTAAGAAAAGTATGCTCAATATTGTATTTTGCTGTAATTTTTACATGGGTGCACCACTAGGATTATTCAATGTTTTCATATCACATACTTACTCTATCGTTATTGGTCGATGAATGTAAAACAATTAATAAACCACAAAAATTGTTTGATAAATTAAATTTTTATTTACACTTAAAAAAAAAAAAAAAACAACAATTTCGAGTACATTAAAATATTTTTTATTAATTTTTTAAAGAGTTACATAAAATATTGTACAGGGTATAATATTACAATAAATAAAATAATAAGTGATCGTCTTGGTCAAAGTAAATTGAAGTTAGTCGCATTAAATATAGATTTTGGTGTCTGATCTAGAGGACCTATTAAACGTAGTAAGCAGCTGTGTACGGGGAAGTCGTCAAGGTCTTGGCCACGTACGGGTAGGCGGAATAAGCGGAGTAAGCGGAGACGTACGGTGAAGGTACTGCAGCATATGGGGCGGCGACATAAGGGGCGGCCGCGTACCGTGCGGCCACGTAAGGCGATGCGGCCACGTAAGGCGATGCGGCTACGTAAGGCGAGGCAGCGGCGTATGTTGCAGCCACATAAGGTGAGGCGGCCAACGGGACTACCACTCCTCGTTTGCTGCGGTCGGTGTCTGATTGGGCAGACGACGGCGTCTTGGTTTCGGCGGCGGCGAAGCACACGACCATGGCGAGCAAAACGAAAGATGCCTGCAAATTGAATGACAAACGGTTTAATTTTAATGTTTTCTAGGTTATTAAATCACATACCCGCCTTTTAAAATGCTCGTATACTACGGTTATTTATCATCTACTCGAATAGATAACTACGGGAGGGCTGTACTTACCATTGGTTTTATAATAATTAATAGCGTACAATTTACAATATATGTTATATTTCGACGGTTATCAAAAACATGATTGAAAAAATAATTTCAAACGAATAATATATTACCCAAACGAATTGTTGTTGATAAATCGATCATTGAGATTCGCTCTCTCTCTCTCTCTCTCTCTTTACATTGAGAAAATCTTGTACAAAAATGCTCGTGGAAATAAATCACCATGTACTATAATACTGTTGATATACTCTGCTCTCTCAGTGTGTTAAATAAATAATAATATATTGTGATGTATTGCATACATCGTATATATACGTAAAATTTGTGTCAGTTACTTAAGCTTAAAATATGACTTAAGACTTACTTGGAATTGCATGGTGATTTCGTTGGTAGGTTGACTTTTGAATGTCTGTAGATGTACGACTGAAGACGGACGAAAGACTGATACTAACCACCGAACGGAAAGTCCGTTTTATACCGTCCGTTTGGCCTAGAGACACCCAATTAACGTTTTGCATACAATATGATATTCAATTACAAAACGGACATCGGTGCCAAAATATTAACAAACGATAATCATATAATGTTACATAGTATAATTGAAATTATATCTTTTAAACTGTCACACTCGTTTGCAATGCGCTTTACGTTCACATCGTGTTGGCCGACTGCACTGTTTCGAAATGTCACAGAAGTAATAGGTTTGTTACCAACTATAGCTATTAGTTGAAAATTTGATACATATGATTTTTTATCATTTTAAATCTATAAAACAATAATTTCGGGCTATATAATACTGTATTCTTATTTTATTTATTTAACTTTGTATTGGTTCGTTCAATTGAGTTTACCGATGTATTCATTGATATAAGCTATAACTTATAATACGTAGTAAATCAAATATAAATACCGATAAATAGATAAATATTGTTATCATTATTTTAAACTTACAAATCATTAAAATATAGAGAATCTTGTTGTTTATTTTATTTCAGAATAGATAAGGATTTTGTTCTGAATTTCTGAGATTATTATTTTATAACCTATATAAAATTAATACTGTGTATTACAACTGCGTGGTATTATTGAATCGTATTTTGTATTTCAATTTTAACAAATTAAGTATAGATAATTGCTACAAAATAGCTTATTATTTAAAATTATAAAAATATTTCATCACAGAAGAAATTTATCATTAAAATTACGTGTAACCATTAAATTTTATAATAATTTTATGAAAAATAAAATATTAATATGCTAGATTGCGTGTATATTTTTTAAATATAATTTATACCTTGAAATTTAATTAATTTTAAGATTAATTTTATTACATTGCACTATTATATGTTATTCTAATCTTACAAATTAAAATATCTACTCCCGAAATAAAAACAAGTGTAGAATGTTATTTTGACAATAGCGAACAGGTTAAATGTGTAAACACACTTAATTCATAGGAAAAATATTTGACATTTTCAACGGTATTAAAAAATTATATTGAAAAAATGTAAAAATATGAGGCTGTGAGAGTATTAAAACAAATAATATGACGAACTCCCCCGCAGAAAATCATTAAAAATATTTTTTTTGACATAAAATTAAATGGGTTCTCGTAGTAATATTAATATATTGGCAATAAAATTTAATTTCGAGTATAATATAGGTAAATACAATGTTATGTAAGATGTAATAGTTCGAGAATTATTTGCTATTTCGACAGATTACTCCGGATTTTTAAGGTTACCGATATGACGGAGGCTTTTTGAATCCGAAATTGTTTTTAAGTTCAGAACCCGATAGCTAATATGGTACGAAACTTGTATTAAATCTGTCCACTGAAAACGTTTTTAAATATTTTGCAAACTGAAAACAATAACGGTCGAAGATTATAGATGGTAATGCGTATAATAACAATCGAGGCCGGGATAAAGGGTGCTATAAGTTCTAGTAATATATAATATAATGTAATTATAAATTTTAGCCAAAGTCATTCGATAATAATAATATTGTTCCGTTTATCGTATAACGTGCACTGCACACTTCCGTGCAGAATCATGTGCAGTTATGTATATCATATTATACATCATAAATTCATAACTACATATATTTAATTAGTATATACAGTACTTATATACAATTGTTGAAATCGTATATTGTAACGTCAACGTATACCCCTCGCGTGGTGCGTATTTTTATAGTACTTTGCTGTACGCCCTGACCGTTTCTCATCCGTTACGCACAATTCATAAATCGTATATAAATCGTGTTAAACGCTTTAATATTATTATATTATTGCTATGATGCGTACTATGATATTCACATTACCCGCAACTACTTCAAAACGCGAGAGACGTCTTGTGCAACGTCCGCGCTCGTCGTTCACCTAATCCTTTTGCGATTCGGCACGCCTTTATACTATACATATAATACGATGGATATATATGAATATCGAAATACACACATTTCTATATTTATTGCGTGTACCGTATATAAGTATAATATATTGTACATCGTATAATGTCGAAATACAATATGTACCTAATAACATAATATTATGTGCACGCTATACGTTATGTATATACCTATATAGACGTTAGATATTAAACAAATAGTTCGCCGACCGCCCGCCCGCCCACCCACTAGGGTTGGACCACCGCTGTCTCTGCACTGTACACACGCTACCCCGTTATTCCCACGTATTTATGTGTTTGTGCGGCTAAGTCATTTTTATCGGAGGGCTGCGCGCATAGGCATTGTGAATGAAGATGTGCGAATTGCAAAAAAGTTGGAAAAAAATTCACCTCGCAGACGTTTATAATACGGCGTGGTAGGTATATATACCTGCACCGGTATTATGTACGATCGAGCGATTGCTCGGAAATATAAAAAAAAAACCATCTTAACCCCTCGTCAGACAAATGCATGCGCATATTTAGTCTCGGGTACCGTTTTTAAGAAGTATATCGCCCCTCGGCGTACATCCATTATCCGTATATATGATGTATATGCACACTATACCAGCAGTCCGCACAGTATTATATTATTATTATTACAATGAAAAGTCTCAGTACAACGAGTTTTGCATACTCTCGTATAATAATATACCTGATCGTTTATTATAATATCGCGAAATAACAATAATTACAACGATAGTAATTATTAATTAGTTATATAATGTATTGCGTGATGGCTATTTGGGAGTTCGTAATTTGCACCACTTCACAGGCAGCCAAAAATAGTGTTTATAATTTGCACCAAAATTAAAATCTATTATTATAAGATAGATACTATCGAAAGAATAATCGTACAAGTTTCGATATTTGAGAAAATTTTTTACTTTATTAAAGTTCTCACTGACTTTCAAACAAATACGTACATAAAACTATTGAGTTTACATAAACTTAACCGAATGATTTCTTAAACAAGTGAATGAACAAATCAAATTCAAGTTGCTTTGGACCATTATAATAATATAAATTGATATCAAAAACTTCATTTATTTAATTATTAGTTGCATTCAATTCATTCAAATAAAAAAAACCTGCTAGTATTAAAACATAAGTTGCAATCTAACTAATCTAACAATCAATGCAACATCAGTTTGTTTTATTATTTTTATATTTTTATTTTTTTTAAATATATTATACTCAAATATTGAAAATTGTACGATTATGCTTCCGATAGTATCTATCTTATATTAAACGATTTTGATTTTTATGCTAATTAAATTTCCTATTTATTATTACCTGAGATGGTGTAAATTACATATATTTATTTTGATGAAAATTATTAACGAAGTTTAAAAGCTTTGGTGCAAGTTACACATGTTGTAAATGTTTAGGGTCAATTTTGGTGCAAATTGATTACACATGAGAATTGAGATTTTTAGGACTGTAAATGAAGCTTGTATATTATACAATAAATATTTATACGGTGTTTCAAATAAAAATACATACTAATTATTGTATACTATTGGAATTATGTAAAAATCGAATAAGATTACAATTAAACAAAAGACGATTAAGTTTTATATAATAATAAAAAAAAAAAAAATTGTTACCGAATTTTTGCCCTACGTACACGGGCGTACAGTTGTTTTGTTTATTTGAAGTGTTTTAATTTTGTACGATAACTTTCGTCACGTTTTTTTTTTTACCATTATTAGCAAGTGAATACCTGTACGCAACGGTATTATGTGTACAAATAACTGGGAATACCTGAGATATATAGCTTAAAAGCGCTTATTGTGCTGCAATCGGTTAAACTAATAGGTATTAATTAATTATTACTTGAGTTTTTTAAACCATTAAAATATGGGCACATACCACACGAGTAAAACATTGAAATCGATGGAACATGAGCTGCGACAAGGTTGTACGGTCGTCAAATTTGACTTGAGGAAATGAAACTATCATAATTTATTATATTTTAATGAACTTAGGTATGCATTAATTTAGATGACACGCGTGTCAATGAAAAATACCCATCAAAAACCATACGAGTACATGTATTATTAGCCCACAGAGCGTGCTCAGGTTTACTATGTATCATTGAACCGTGGTATATATTATATACCATTATGCACATAATACGTCCGGTCAAGGCCTGAACATATTAATATAAAACAGAAGACAATACTCATATTATAATATGATCGGGAGCTAGCGTGATGCGAATCGGCAATGATGTGACTGTGTGTGTCGTGTACCTACATAATATTATGCAGTGTTACGCGCAGGCACGTCGAGGGCGTTATACGCGTTCGACTTGAATTCAAAAAATCACTTTTTCGACAATTTAAAAAATAAAAGACGTGAAAATAAAAATTATATTTTGTGTATTTCCATTACCTCTGTCGGTTCATTTGCTCGGATTTATAAGTAAAGCTTTTTTATTTGATCGGTCCATGAACCAGGGCGCCGTAATTTGTGTCATTATTGTGATTAATGCTGTCTTAAATGTACGTTATAAACAATAATACACACTTATCTGCTGTGCAAAATATTTATTTGGATATTGTTTTGGTTGCCAATCGAATTGAATAATATGCGCACGCACCTGCACCATATCGCGTCGAGGTGAGCTCTAAGTCTACAATCTTATTATGGTCGGTCTGAATTTCTTGTTGATTTTAGATTCACTCCTAATTCACAGAATATTATTACCATTAACCGCTGGGATCTCGTGTATAATCATTCCGAAATAATCAAATTATAATATATCTATAACTTATCGTACGACATTTAAACCGCAAATAAATTATTAACTAAGTATATCAATAACAAAGAATAGTTGGTTTTATAGGTAGTCTTTAGCTTTAAATTTTGTCATAAATGTTTTTATTATATATTCTGTAATAACTTTAAATATCTGTAATCTATACCCACCCTGTGGTTTATAAATAAATAATAAAATAAATTTTAAGGTGGATTAATATTGTACCCGAT